TATCAGCATCTTTTCCCTTTGCTGAAATCCACACTGACAGATTTTTAAAGCCTGACATGACATTTGATTGTGTAGGCTCTTGATAAATCACAGAATGGTTTGGGTTGGGAGGGACCTTAAAGTTCCAACCCCCTGCCTTGGGCAGGGACACCTTCCACTAGATTATGTTCCTCAAGGCCTTAACCAACCTGGCTTTAAACACTGCCAGGGACGGGGCAGCCACAGCTTCTCTGGGCACCCTGTGCCAGCGCCTCAGCACCCTCACAGGGAAGAATTTTTTTCCTAATGCCTCATCTAAATCTCCCCTGTGGCAGGTTAAAGCCATTCCCCCTTGTGCTGTCCCCAGAGGATCTTGTAAAAAGTCCCTCTCCAGGTTTCTCCAGTTCCCCTTTAGTTGGTGGAGCTGCTTTAAGGTCTCCCAGAGCCTTTCCTTTTCCAGGCTGAACAAGCCCAGCTCTCTCAGCCTGTTTCCATAGGAGGGGTGCTCCAGCCCTCGTGGCCTGTCCTGGTCTTGCCTGAGCAGGTCCATGTCCCTCTTGTGTTGGGGCCCCCAGAGCTGGATGCAGGACTGCAGGTGGGGTTCTCAGTGTGATGAGATTGTAGCATGGTGCCCCCCTGGGTTCTGCAGCAAGGTGACCTGTGTTCCCACAGCTGCCCTGTGAACAGCAGCCTTAGGGCCCTGCCAGCACCAGTCTCTGCTCTGGGTACCTGGCGAAGGGCAGCTTGGGTTTAGCTTTTCATGTACATTAACCACATCCCCTGTTTGTGCAGTAACGTAAAACTACTGCTGCAGAGATGATGAAAGGTAAATTTCATCTGTGTTTATAACAAAAAAGTATGAGGAGGAGGAAAAAAAAGCTGTTTCTAGTAGGTGTTATTTAAAATATTACTGTTTTTTTTTTTTTAAATAGGATGATGACAACAATGCACCTTCTGCTCCTGATCCCCCAAGTCTCCTCCTGCATGAACGGGGGGCGGGTTTCTGCTTTGATTCCAGGTAAATGTTATCTTTGATTTTAATGGCATGGGTGGGTTCCTCCGTAAGTAGATCCTTTCTCAGTGGAGGTGATGGAGATGCAAAGCAATTTCAGTGCATATTTGGGTTACAGCTAAGAGAGAATACGCTGTGTGGCTGGGTAGGCTGCTTGTGCTGCACCTCATTTTGACAGAATTCAGATAACTTTTGTAGTGAATGAATGAATAACTTCTGTTTCTTTGCAACCTAATTGTGAACCCAAGTTTAGAGCTTTTATAAAGCGTTATGTTTGCTAAGAGAGAGCATTTATGAGCAGGGAGAGTGGTTTCCCATGATCTCCTCTGCCATTAAGACATTCAGGAGATTTGTATTCAGCTGTAGCTGGAGTTAGGTCAAAATTGTGTCAGTTTTAAAATGCCAGGTTGTTCTTCTGGAATTCCTGCGTAAAACTACTGGAACTGCACGGAGGATTTTCGGCAAAGACACTTAAATTAACAGCGTGATCCTTGCTTGGTTATAAACTCTGAGCAGAGTTAGGTTTCTTGTAAAGCTGTTCACGGTGGCAGCAGGAAGGTCCTGCTTCTGTGTTTTGTTTTGCAATAACAGATTAAATAACCATGCCCTTCTTTCCCTCCGCCTCCTCCTGCAGCTTTTATGTCCACAAGAAGTGCCCTCTCTGTGATGTGATGTTTCCACCCAACTACGATCAGACCAAGTTTGAGGAACACGTGGAGAGCCACTGGAAGGTGTGCCCCATGTGCAGCGAGCAGTTCCCACCCGACTATGACCAGCAGGGCTTCGAGCGGCACGTCCAGACGCACTTCGATCAGAACGTACTGAATTTTGACTAAATACTCGTGTTTTGCGGTGTAGCTTTAACCCCCCCCACCCCGAGTAGACCATCGATGGAGCAAAACCAGTGCAGCTTTCCTGTAACAGGGCAAACTTCTGAGTCAAAGCAGATACACTCTAAGGGGAGCTGGGATAGATGGGGGCTGTGAGCTGCTGTTGGGGTATCTTCTCTCTCTACATAAGATAATACTAAATCTCCACAACCCCCCTTCCCCATGTTGTGGCTGTAGCTGTTTATTCCCCTATTTAGCAGAGTTTGCAAGGACATGGGAATGATTTAGCCTCAGAGAAAGACGAGACTGGCTTCATGATGCTCTTCAGCTCCTTAAAATAAAGTCACCAAACCATCCATGGTTTCTGTTGACCATGGTGACTGAAGCACGATTAAAAATGGAATTAACAGATGTTTCTCCTAGCAACCCCATGTAGTTTGAGTAACAGTTAAATCAGAAAGTTCCATGACTTACTCTACCAAAACACAGTTTTCTAGTATGTTTCTGAAGCGTAGGTGCATGTACTGTGAGGTGACATGCTTGCAGCAAAAGGAATGGCAAATACTTCAGGTTTACGTACAGAGTGTTTGCCCTAAGGGACAGCGTTCTGTTAAGTTGTACCTTAAGGCAGTATTTTTGAGTTGGAAGAAACAGCTGTGCTTAAATGCCTACAAGTAATTGTTTAATAAAAGTCATTGCTGTTACAGTGCAACTGCTGTCAGTAGGAAATACCGTTCTGTTTTCACCAGTGACTTGTGTTCCTTTTGGCTTAGGGCTTTTAAACCCTCCTGCGTTTTAACTTCATGTATTTCTTTGCAGGAAGTAAACCCACGTGTGTATATCTCAACATTTTATATTTACTTTAACTGTATTAAGTAAATTTGCTTTCCACTTGTTGTACAGTAGTCTTGTTACATTAAAAGCAAAATTAATTCATGGAGGTGGCAGTCCCTTCTTTTTCCTGCTGCTTGTTTTGAAATAAAATGGGAGTTTGGCCTTTACGTACCTGTAGTAAGTGATGTTTCAGCTTTGCATGGCAAAGAAACTGTTGCTCATGTCTATTTATGTTCTTTGTTTGAGAGACTCAGGGATGGAGGCTGTGCGTAGGATCTGTTGCCTGCAGTGTTCCTGTGAACACGTGCACTATCCTGGCTTGGTGCAGGGGCTATTGAAAACTGTCTTGATACGGATCAATCGCAGTGTCTTGGGCAACAGCTACTGCGTCACTCCTTCTGTCCCACTGCAAACCTTAGGGGTTTGTAACTGTGAACTTCATGTCAAGAGATGGGCTGAGGTAAGGTGTGGAAGGCCTGAGAGACTTTTTTTTCACTGTAATTCAGCAGTATATTGTTAGCAGTTAGAACAGGCTCTAAACCCAAACTACTGCTAATCATCGTATTGGAGACTTTAGGCAATCTCAGGTTGGGGTCCCTCAGTGGGCTGTGCCAAAGCTGGGCTTTCTGTTAGAGATGCGTGTGTGTGTGTACAGGGAGCTACTTCAGAAGCTTCCCCATGAAACAGCTGCCCTGATGTGTCTGCTTGCACTAACTTACCCAGGTACATGGCAGAAGCCAAAAGCCTCTGGCCCAGCCTCCCCGAACTACAATGTTAATGATCCTCCTTTCACTGTGATAGCTGCTTCATTGCTGATGAACCTCCAGCAGAAAAGCAGCCTGTATTCTACCCTTAGAAGGTGGCCTGTGGCATCCCTACACACTCTCAGGTAACCAGGGCCCTGGTGGTGTTTAATGCTACCAAAGCAAAATGCACAGATAAAAGACTATACGCAGCCCAAGAACTTAACTCTTAATAATGTTAATAATGAGTGCAGAGCAGGCTTCTTAGGTCAGAGGCAGTTTATTTTAAATGTGATTTGATTTACATTTATAAGCAGCTTTCCTGACAGGAATTCTTTAAGTTGCCTTCAGTTCTAAAACAAACCTCTGTCACTTTCAAACTTAAAGTACTTTGTCCCCAACAAAACATATGAAAATATAATTTAAAGCACACTTTTCACAGACATGGTACAATACATTCACTATACACAGTATAACAAAATAGTCCCATCTTTACCTGTTTAATAATACTGTCACAATGAGTAGGTAAATAGAAACTGGAATTTCGTTTTATAGTCAAAAGGAATTTACATGCAACAAGGACATTTTACGAGTGTTCAGCTGTTGGAGGAACTTACCCAGCCTGTGGTGTCTTGCGCCAGGAGCAGAGCTGAGGCTGAGCTGTTGGCCAGAGCTACAGAAGGTAGAAGCAGCTGCCCAGGGCCTCACGTGTCTGGGTCACCCCTTGAATGTGTCTCACAGCCCTGCACGATGCAACCACAGTCACCTCTCCAGGGCCTGACAAAGTGATGTGCTGTTTCTATTAGAGTGTTCCACATGCTTGGGCATTAGGCTGATGCCAGAGTGTTTTAATGAGACTTTTACTCTGCAGGAGAACAGGTAATTGTCATACTGACAGAGTTTTCATTTAACTTTGGGGGAAAATGGAGGGAAAGCTCATTCCTCCTTCATTTGAGCTTGCGTTTGCACTTAACAGGAACTGAGCAAAGGCAATCCCTGTGGGCTGGTCCTGTTCCATGGTGGGGGATGCCCACCTCAGCTCTGGGGCAGCTCCATGGCGGGAACCATGTGTGTGAGAGCAGAATGCTTGGCGCAGGCTGGTGAGCAGCATGTGCTCAGGTGTGGTCCAGACACGAAGTGCTCACTTTTGCTTTAAGTCAGTCTCTGACCACCTGCTGCAAGAAGCACTTAATCTTTCAGTAAGGCTCATATGTCATAGTTCAGCAAAATAACAGTAAAGCTAAACAGACACTTCCAATGGGAATGCAGCGACCTATGATGAGAAGCAAAAAAAACCACACAAAGAAACTCTGAAATACAATGAGCATGAGGGAGCGGCTTTAGGAACTCCCTTGCACTAGTAATGGACCTCCTTAAACCAGGCGTAGGCTTTGTAATTTTTATTTGCAACCACAGGCACATGCTCGTACAGTAGTTGCAAGAATTGGCAACACATAAAACATTAAATCTGTTGGCAATAGAGAACTACAAAGTGCTTTAAAACTTCATCTGGGATGAAGATAATTGTTTCTCACACACACATAAATTTGCACTTAAGTATTTCCAAGTGTCTTTCTAATAGATAGTTCAGGGGTATTTCACTGGACTGGGATATTGGTCCTCAAAAGTTGGATGGGCGTGAACGTAAGATGAATCTTGTACAAAAGAAAAGGAGCAATTTCTAATGCTAAGGTGACTGTTTACTAGTTGGAATGGCAAAGGGTGTCCGCACTTCAAGAGGGAGAAAAGAAAAGAGATTTGCAAGATAATATAAAATACAGCAAGCACACCTTCGTATGTATGTTATTTAAGTATGAAAATATTTTTAGCATATTATGTTAAACATTCTTTCTTATTTATATTCCCGTTACCTAAAAGACTTGCTACTCCACGCTAGCTCCATTACGTAAGGCATGTTAGCGCTAGTCTGATGTGGGTGGTGTCAGTTTGGTTTTGCACGCATTGGAAGTCTCTGTCACGGTACAATCATCTCCAACGGGTGCCGATGCCAAGCTCCCCTCGTCTCCTCTTGCACCGATTCCCGCCTCAGGACAACTCAATAGGCAACCCACCCCCCTTCCTCTCTCTGGGTTTTGTTTTGGAGTAAAGTGTTCTGGAGAACCTCTAGCTTCGATAGCACCTTATCTCAAAGTAATGAACATGGGTATGATGATTACATGTGCAAATGTACAAAATCATTAACTCTACAAAGATACATCATTCCAAAATTACAGAAAATTTTAAAGCATGCATTTAATTTTGTTTTTGAAAGGGTTGCTGAATGCTTCCCCTGAAAAAGGTGGCTGTTCTCAAAATCAGCAACTGCTGGTGAGGATTTCTTGGCACGTTTGTGACCAGCATGTTATTGCTGCATCTTCCTGATAATCTCAGCAGACACGGGGGGATGGAAATTGATTGTGTGGTGCCGCAGGCCCTGAGCTGTCTTGTAACTCTTTCCGCAGCGACATTTGAACGGTTTACGGACGCGGATTTGCGTTCTGTGGCCATTCTTGGCATGGTACTTTATGCCATTCACATTCTGTGAGTGAGAAAGGAAAACGTTAGTGGTCATGTGGGCAGGGAAACAGCTGAGCTTCCACTTAAAAAGCAAAAACTTGTTAATGGCACAGGCAGCATCACACAAATGGCTTGGAACTCCTGCAGGGTGTTGTGCACGTGTTGTGCATTTAAGATAGAGATGAGATGGAACAAGAAGGAAAACAAACTATGCGGTTCTAATGTACCGAACTTACCTGCCTGCCTAATTCTGACTTCTATTTCATTGAATCATCATAGAATGCTTTGGGTTGGAAGGGACCTTCAAGACCATCTAATTCCAGCCCCCTACCACAGGCAGGTACACCTTCCACTGGATCAAGTTGCTCAAGGCCCTGTCCAACCTGGCCTTGAAGACTGCCAGGGATGGGACAGCCACAGCTTCTCTGGACAACTTGTGCCACCTTTACAGTGAAGAATTTCTTCCTTATATCTATCCTAAATCTCCCCTCTGTCAGTTTAAAGCCATTCCCCCATGTACTGTCCCTACATGCCCTTGTAAAAATCCCCTCTCCAGATTTCTTATAGGCCACCTTTAAATACGGGAACCTCTAAGGTCTCCCCAAAACCTTTTCTTCTCGAGGCTGGACAAGCCCAACAACTCTCAGCCTGTCTCTGTAGCAGAGGTGCTTCAGCCCTCTCATCATCATCTCATAATGTATTTTCCAAAAAAACACCGTTTAATGGCCTCGTACATGGATGTTCGTTTGCCTTCCTGACATTTTTTCCCTATAGCACTGACAAATGTTATTCAGAGGTTCATTTACAAGCAAACAAAGAATTGGCATGAAGACTCAAGTCACACTTCTTCAAAAAGCTGCAGCTCCCCCCATGGTGTGTTTGTTCCGTTCTGTGTCATTGTTTTGAGATATGTCTTTAGGCACCACCAAATTCTGATAGTTTGCACATTGTCTCCAAAGAATTAACTGCAGGGAACACTCAGCCCTAGGAGTTACACAGGGCACTCAAAGCAATCCAGAAAAGCCATCTGCAAAACAGCTATTGTTTGGGGATATTCTACAGCTACAACTTGAGAACTGATCTCCACTGGTTTCAGGACAAAGAGCAAGAGATGGCACCACAACACACTGGTACACTGGCAAGGTCAGCAAACAGGCAAACCTCTGCTACATTAACCAAGTATCTTGCTAACACATAAACCAAAATCACAGCCCTGTCCTCCTTTACACCTATTTCTGGCCAAAATTGGGGAAGCTGTTGTGCTCTCAATAGCTGTTGATGTAGGAGTCACCTTCCTGCAGTCTCTCTTACTGCTTCCACTAAAAGCTTGGATTTTTAGATAAATAAGACAAAATGCCTCTCCTTACAGCTTCTCCCAGGAAGAATCCAAAGATGGCAAGACCATTTGTGACAAAAAAGATAGTTCTAGTTAATTCCAAGTCAGAACCTCAACTATTCTGTCCCACTCCTTAGAGGAATTCCCCCTGTGTGCCCCTCTCCACAGCCCTGCTCTAACCACAGCTCACAAGAGTGAGCAAAAGCAGTGTAAGGCACTTGCAGCTCCCACTGGGCAAGTAGGGAGGACTGTAATGGCAAGAGAAACCACCCGTCTCCCAGAGAGCTGCGCTGTTCTCATCTTACCATGTAAAATGCTGGTCCTTAGTTACTGCATGTTAACCGCGCCCCAGCAGCAATGTGTTTTAATCTTTAAGCAAAACCAGTTCCTTGCTTTCACTCATGAAGTTGAGCGTGGCACTGTTCTTGCCACAACTCACCATGCCCAGTGTAGTCTGTAATGCTGAAATGGCATTTTAGGGCAGGCTGGGTGTCTGGAGAGGTTCATTTATTGAAATCCTTTAAGAAGGAAAACGTAGCATGCAACATCCACCCTAGAAAAAGGGCATAGTGCAAGACTGCAAGTGACTGCTCTGCCCACGGTTCTCTTCTCTAGAGAATCCAGGCACGATTCTGTGCACTTGCTTTGTTAAAGTTGCAGATCCAGCCCCCAAATTGTCCTTTACACCGTTAAAAATACTCTTGCACAGCTGTCATCTGAGATACGGGAGATGAGAATCTTCAGTCTCCAATACAAAGCAGACACACAAATACGAGCCTTTAGTGCAGGTTACTGCTGGGTGAAGAGCACTCAGAAAAGGTCAAATGCTGTACCACCAAGACAGACAAGAGCACATCAAAGCTACAAATCATCCTCGAGAGCAGTCAAGTGAGTTCTCTGCAAGTAACTTGAGATCCTGAGGCAGCTTTGAGATGGTTTTGCACATAGTTACAACCTTCAGCACCCGCAGGGTGAGGGGGCTGGAATGCCAGTGGGTGGCATGAGGGCTGTCGTAAGACATCTGTCAACATCTAAGTACTCTTAAGGAGGACCTGTGCCTTCAAAGGTGAGAAAATCCTGAAGTGACCTGCTAAACTTTTGCTAGTGCAGTAGAATTTGAAAAGCAAAACTATCCCCAAACCCTATATAATATGTATTGGAAACTATAGAAACCTGTCTAGACTTTAGTTTTTGTCAGAAATCAATTTAAGATACTTTCAAACAAGTATCAATTTAAATCAGATGTTCTAAACCTGCAGTCACAGATATCCTCACTGTTCCATGCCAATGGCACTCTTTCTCCTGATCCAGCTTTTTTAATGACCTGCTCAGCCTCAAGCACACCATGTGCTTTGGTGAAGGTGGAAAAGTACTTTCAGGCAGAAAAATTTAAGGAAATGCTAAACCAGAAACCTACATGGAATGAATTGGACCATGGAAGGTTTGAGGAGCTAGCATAGCATGAAACTGGATCTGCACCCCCGGCTAAAAGAAAACTGTTGTTAGAATTACAGTCAACTCCTCAGCACTTTTTCCACTGCTGTAATGTAAACACTTTGTTGTATGTCTGGGCTGAGTTTGCTGAGGTACGGCAAAACTCACTGCCAAACTCATACATCACTTTTATTGCTCTGGTTACTTAGGTTGCTCATTACTTACTCTCACAAATGATTGAGGAAGAAGATGGTAGTGTGTAAGGGCACTCTAAAATCTTAAACAGGAGGAAACAATCATTAACCTGGGACCAGATCAGGACCAGATAGAGAAGTTTAGATTGGCACTACCTGGTTTCATGGACACAAGAGCAGTTGCTGGGCAGGGCCACTTGCACTGCAGTAGCCATGAAGCCACTACACTGCAGAGAGCTTGCCACCCCCTTCAAGAAGGAAAAGACACCAAGGATGGTTTGGGAGGTTTTCCTGTTTCAGACTTGGACACTCATACATATTTTTGTATCTCCTAGCTCTTCCTCCTGAAACTTTCTTTGTGGGTCTGGTTCCTCTTTGCCCAACTTGCAAGCTCTGGCTTGCTCCCTTCTTTCAATCAAATTCCTTTATTTTCCCTCTCACATCAGTGTTCTGCCTCCCTTAGCTCTGCCGCATCTCACTGCTCTTAGATCAGCCTCCTGAGCTTTGCCTCACCTAACAAGCCTAGAACCCTTATCCTGCTGCCTGCCAGAAGGACAAGCCCAATGCCTCAATGCCTCTGCATTCTTGGAAGGTGCCATTTCTCCTCTTGCCATGGCCAAAAAGCTGTCATGCATATAAGCTACACCTTGGATGCACAGAAATCTATTGCTCTTTTATTTATTTGCACAAACTAGAAAAATTGTGACAAATTTGTGGTTTTTGTTATCTATTCATTTTGTATCAAACTTAATTTGCTGTTTGGAATAAGTTTACCTATATCACATACACACTTTGAATGGTTCTTCTCCAGAGCTAGAGACCAAATAACTGGCACACATAGGTGGTATTGAATAAAAGGAAAACTAACTGTCATGTTGATAAATGCATGCTTTAGCTCTTATAGGTGGCATTTTGCAAAGCAGGATAACTGCTCATTACCCCACACACTCTGGATAGGGCATCTAAATGCAGATGTAAATCCAAAATCTGGTGAGTGTGAACTCCATGAAAAGAAGGCCAAGATCTCTGGGTTCCATTGATTCATGCAGATGATTTTTTAAAAATCAAATTTAAGGCATCAAATACAAACCATATGAAGAAAAAAACCCCATAAATGGCAACTATAAAATACTTGTAATTTGTTCTCTAGGTCAGTAACTATAATTAGAGAAGAAGAAAGCAAGCTTCAGAAATTAGTTCAGAGGTTTGTGTTTTAAGCTTCCAGAAGTCGGTATGCTCCTGATTCATTTCACTGTTTCTGACTATCCTACAAACACATTTACATATCACTAAAAAAAGTTGGGTTTTTTTTCCTCCAGAACCTTCAGCTCCTCAAGGAAACCTAAGTCACGCTACACAGACTAACAATATGAATTAGAAGTCAGCAAATTTATTTCCTCAAAAAATAAAGTTCCTGAAGAGCTAGATGTTTTATGACTCACTTCTACTGCACTGCCTATGGGAAAGCATCAAGAGATAGGAGCTGGGCAGGAGGCCAGCAGGGTCTTCTGATACTCATCTGGGCTTGTGTATAAACATGTTCCTGTTTCCATTGTCTGCCCCAGCCCATTCCTTGGGTGTATTTGTTGTTCTCATTCTGGTCTTATTTACCTTTCCATAATGACTTTTCAGTGCAGAGGCCATCTTTTATCCTTGTACATTGTTTGCAAAAAGGAGCCCCATTTCTACTGGGTCCTTTAAGCAATACTGTAATACAAACAACATACCTAAAAATAACACTTCTGCTTCTCAAACCTACGTCACCTAAGGCCAGACAAAAGAAAACTGTGTATATCCTCCTTTCCTCCTCACTCCCTGAAGGAATGCATCGTTTCTCAGCTGTAAAGTGAGCCTGGCAATTACTGTATGTACATGTCCGTGTTCCTGTTTGGAGCACTATAATTGTTTTACAGCCCTGACTGTGATTATCCAGTACCCACCACAAAATCCCAATGCTTTGATCACAGGACTCCCTGCCCGGACTTTGCAAATAATTCATCAGAGGAGGGGGTTAAGCAGAAGGAGGATGAAGAGGAAACGAGAAACACAGCTGACACAAAGCTAAAAGGAAGGAAACAAAGATAAAAATGTAAAAAGAAAAAATCAGGCTGAAAAGAAAAAAGGGAGGAAACAGAGCCCAAGGAAAACAGAAATGAGGTGAGGCAGAGTTTAAGGAAATGTGCTTTCCTATCAGGACTAAACAGAGGTGAGTCTCTTAAGAAGACGCACTTTTTTATTTGCTGCTGCTGTCTGTCAGCCTCTCTATAGGTCATTAATTTGTGCCCTGTCCAACTGTGCTAACATTAATGGTGTACAAGATATCCCTTAGACAGTCCTCATGCATTTGAGATGAAGGTAGTGAGATAGCAGAAGCAGGCAGAAACAGCTTGCTTATTTGAGCAATAAAAAGACAGAGGGCTGGCAGTCAAACAGAGAACAGACAGGATATAGCAAATTACAGGGTTCTCCTTCTAGCCTTTGCTATTAAGTGAATGTTTTCTGCAATGCATAGATGCCCTGTGGGCACTGTGACTTCTAACAATCACCATGGCTTGTTTGCTTCCTGAGCTAGGGATTTAGCTTTTATGCTATACCCTTCATCTGGCACAGCTTCTACCACACACAAGAAGAGTATTAATCTTGAATTAACGCGTGTACATCTGCAAAGTAATACTTGCAAATTATCTGAAAATATCTTTTCCTCTGCCCTGCCCCTGGAGATGGCGTTCAGTTTTTCCTGTAACTAAAGAGAAGAATAACTATGACAGAGTATAGGCTAATCCCTGCAAAAAAAGACTTGCATGTTACTAAGGAGTAAGGAAGCACACTGCTTTGTTGCTCGTATTTTAAGAAGGTATTGTCAGTATTAACTGATCTGTGTAGGAATCTGAGTCTTGATTTGCTGTACAGGAGCTGCCACAGTCCAGAACAGCTGCAGCATCAGTGAAACACGTTTTTATCCTCTAAACAGTTTCATGCATGGTTTATTCATTCTTGTCACAACTGTTTTATCTCAAATGTTATTGGTCTTCCTATATTTCTCTTTCATATTTCTGTTCTCTTTTAAGTCCCTACTTGCCAGTTATTTAAAGGAGAAGCCATAAAGTAAAACTAATATAAACCCAACCCAACCCCCACTGATTTTTCTAGGGTATAGGTCAGTGGTTGAGCTTTCCAGTAGCTCCTGCTAAAACTTCAGAAAGTGATTTAGGAGAACTGTGCCAACACATTATTTCTGTTCCCAAATGTCAATAGCTATAGAATACCATACTGAAGTCCAAGTTGTTCAATAGTTTCATCTGTCTCTGCACTGGTTCATGTGAAGCAATACTACTGTCCGCACAACAGCTCAACATGTTCTGTTCTGGCCAGCTCAAGATTCAAAGTTAAAAATGTTTCACTCCCAGAAACAGACAAAAATTTCTCATGTCAGAAAGTAATTGAAAAAAGGGGGAGGAGAACCATTTCCCAGCATGTCACGCAGAGGGATGGATGCAAGCCCTGCACGTGAAGCTACACACTGACAGCTGTGTAGACACAGGGCTCAGACCCAGGACACAACAATGAGGGAATTTCCCTGAGGCTCTCTCTTTCCAAGGTGACCTCTGACTTCCAAAACATAAACCACCATCTTCTGCACATCACCTTGACCAGGAAAAGTATCCTGGGCACAGCCTCAGTAAAGGAGAGGCAGCATCTCTATCAGTTAAGCAGAAGGAATTAATTCTGGCACTGATGGGCAGAAGCTCTCTATTTAGTGTTTGTGAAAGGCACCCCAGAGATTATTTCACTGGTAGTTCCTCCTGCATTCTGTAGTTAATTTGTCTAATTAACAGAAAGCTAGTTAAAATGTTAAAAGACAGTCACTATATATAATGTCTCTTGACATTATATACAGGGACACAGAAGGCCACGCATCTTTGTGAAACTGGTTATCTTGGCTGTGTTTGAGAGGAAACCAGTAAATAAAGTAAGTACTCTGCTAAAATACCACATACATAAAATGTGAAAAGTCTATCAAACAAGAAAGGTACAAACTGGTTTTAGAGGCTTTTTCCCCCTCTCCTCACTACACCAGCAGGAAATAAGGTAGGTCCACACTACTGCTTACCTTGTATCTTTTTTTACATCCAGGAACAGGACAGGCAAAAGGTTTCTCATCCCCTCCATTCATGCACATTGAACTAAGGATAGCTTCAGAGCTGATAGCACTTTCTGTAGTCCAGGACTCATCACTGTCTGATTCTTCATAGTCTACTTCCTCTTCATCATATTCACTACCTAGAAAAGCAGGGAAGTGAGATAAAACAAAAATAAATAAGAGCACAGCAAGATAACACATTCTGCATTTATTACATCAGTTACAATGACTTGTAATTTCCCCACTTTTGTCTTTGCTGGAAGAAGACAGTTATTTTTAATTTTATAAACCTATCTTTCTTATAGCTATTTATTCCTTCATAAAGACACCAGTGGTTCTTTTTCTAATAACCAGGACAGGCATTATTAATATATCTTCATAAACTGTTAACTGCATGGCACAGAAAATTCAAAGAACTGATTTTAAAATGCAGTTTCATTCCTCCTTGAACACCAGGATCCTTCTGTCTTTCCCAGTGCCTGAACAGAATATGTGGTTTCACCCCCCTGCAATTAAAGCTAATTTTAAGGCTTTTCTTTATGCAATGCAACACTGAAGAGCGTAATTCTACAGATCATAAACAGTGTAAAATAATATGTTGACAAGTCCTAATGCATTTACTAGCCCTTTGGAATTAATAGGAATTATAGCACAACATTAATAAGAATTATATTGTATTGTAGCAATTATGGTTGTGAAATTCATTCCCTCAGGTGTGGGGATAAATTGCATTGTGTGGCTGCCCTGAACAGACCGCATTATGTTCCAGATATACTGCGACAGCCATTTGAGCAGCTGGTGCTGAGTTTATTTATTATTTTTAATTGCAATAACTATCAATGAAATCCTCCGAAGAAGTTAAATGTGAAACGAGAGAAATTAGGAAAGCAGAATTCCAACTATAAAAATACCGTTTTAAATAAATAATAATCTAAAAAAGAAGCCAGGGAGGGAAGAGCCCCAACTGATTAAAAAGAAAATATATGCACAGAGGGAGGGAGAGGGAAAGCTGAAATAAACTTCTGTGGTGTCAGCAGGAGGTGGTGCTGTGTTTCCCCTCCCCTTCCCTTTCCCAGCTCTGCTAAATTTTATCCTTTCTGCTGAAAGCCGATTTGGCTCTGAGCGCTGGAACAGCTCCCGTTGTTAAAGACAGTTATGTGACACTTGCATGGCTCTATTTGCTTCCCTCATATGCCCTTTAAATGCATGCCTCGAGGCAGCTTTATGTGCCGAGAAGAAAATGCAGCCAGATGCCTTGAGGCACTTTAAAAAAGAAGCGTCCCGACCTCACAGAGAACCCATGTTGCAATGTGCAGTGGGGTCTTTGGTTTTGTTGGTTTTTTTTTTCCTTCTGGTGAAGCTAAATACGCACCTATGATCTCAATTTTTTCCCTTTGGAGTCCCTTTCCCCTCCACCCCCCCCCCACCCCCCCCCCCAGTACTTTCACTCAGACTCTGCACCTCTCCATCATTGAGCAGAAACGCATGTCAACTGGTAGCTGCAAGTACTCAGGGCTCCTGAGCTTTAATCAGATACTGTAAGTTCGCTTACAGATGTCAGGCCATCCACGTTCCTTTCCTGTGGTTTCCATCCATACAGGATGGTGCACAGATGAGGAAAGATGGATGGTTTCCCACCATCAACAACTGTCGACATGTGCGCACGCACACATGCTCTGCAGCACATCTGCAGAACTCCGCCTTGTCGACTGTGCCTCCTCATCCCGCACCCAATGAGTGAAAGCCAAAGAAAGCATTATTGACCTCTTAAAAGATTCCTGAACTCTAGGAAAACAGTTAACCTAAAATGAAGTTAAGACTTGTTACAGTTTAATTAACTAATAAAAAAATGGAGGCAAAGCCACAACTCTGCATCTACGATTTCCTGCCCTTGACTGCATCTTGATGGAAAAAAAATCCTCAAGCTGTTCCTTTCAAACTTTTCAGCTCAGTGGAGTTTTTTAAGCAAATGCAACAGAAAACCCTGTTGTAAATACGTATATGCACTCATAGGATGAGAAAATATACATCAGTGCTAAACACCGATACCAACAATTTCTGCCATTATAATCACCCCCTTGTAAGTCCCCTTCAGGGGGGGTTATTTCCTCCCTTATAGGATTTTGTCCACCTAAAGAAAACATCATGTGAGACTGTATGACATCTACTAAAGATATCACTACTTTTAGTGATAACAAGGAGCATGCTTTTATAAAACAACAATCAGAGCTCTAGAAAATGTAATATGCAAAACAGTACATAAGAGAAAAGATATACAGTACAGTGCGGGGAAGAAACAAACATTGCAATGATACATTCCCATACATTTTCCTGTACATCCTTTGAATTTTTCTAAAAACTTTGTATAGTAAGACCCGATTCTATAACAACCTTTTCCTGTACTTTACTTGCAGGTAGACTCACTGAAGGAGAGAGACAGCAGAGACCAAACCACATGTGTAAGCATCTGTGAGGTCAGACAAGCCTTATGGTTTTATTTTAATTAGCTTACCTGCATAAAAATGCAAGATTTTGTCTAGTGTAGTCAAAAGAGTTGTTAGAACAGTAGGAGCAAATGCTTCATTGTCTTAAGTTTCTGAATCCAGACTTGTCACTACAGATTTCACATATGATGAGCTTTTTCAAGCATGAATAAGCATATAAAGACGTGTTTCTTACACAAAATGGTAATACTAATGGTGCCAAGTACCTGAAAGGCATATCACTTCATACAAAGCTGTAACTGCAGTCTATCATTGTTCTTATCTGACAGCAGTTTATCTGTTCTACTGAACTCAATTGCTTGTACTCTCTTAAAAAAAGAATTAAAAAGAAAAACCCCGAATGTATTTAAGAGGGTGCTGGTATAAACAACATGTATAAAACCTCAATGTCTTAAAAAAAATTACCAATTAATATCTACCCTTTCAATAACTATGTTGTTTTAGTTGTCATAGAAAAACAACACTGATTTAGTCAGGCTTTTAATTGATTCCGCTTCAGAATTTAATTTCCTCAGTTGTCAGTGTCTAAGAGCAGCAACCCATGTGGTGCCTCACTGATTGCATGCAACACATCAGAGGCGGGGGAAGCAAAAAGCACAGCACGCAGGTTGGCGCTGCCATAATAAACAGCCCCTGGATGAGGTATTTTAATTAAGGACTTTGAGGCTGAGGATGGTGGCTCTGTGGCGCGGTTCCCACGCCGAGCAGGAGCCCCTGGCCCTCAGTACACATTAGGTGTACAAACTGCAACCTGAGGCACCGGCTGCTGTGGGCTCCCTTCAGGCAGCTTGCCAGGGCACCAGCAGTGCACCGAAGGGGAAGTGCACAGCAGTGCATTTTGATCAAGATGCGGCTTGCTTGTTCTGCTTCATTTAACCTTGGTTGGTGTTTCACAATAATAACTGCAAATATTTACTTTTAGAAGGAAAAATAAAAATTAAGCACCTTTGCATCTGATCTACAGCCTGTTCCAGGGTGTAACAACTGCGTGACTTGGAGAAGTATTTGTAATAACTCTGAACAGAGCTCCAAGGGAGCTGGCTCACTCCTCTGTGCCTGGACGTTGCCATGCACATGGAAAACAGGATGCTCTGCTGGGGCACGCTGCCCTTCTGGGGGACAGAGTGGAGCCAGTCCCTGTAGCACGCATGCCAATGGCTTTACCATTTCACGTAATGCTTGGAAGGCTGACTGATCATTCCCCCCCATCAGTACTCAAGAAAAAAGATCAGAATTAGGCATCAGAAGTCCAAACAGCAAAAACCTCCCCCAGAACTCTACAACATACATTTCTCTATGTCTAAATACTTGGAGAGGAAAGGCTGACAGAGAAGCACATGCTTTCAGCAAGACAGTGTACAAATACACAATATTATTACTGTAACTGAATACTAGTTCTACAATAGCAAGAAAACTGCCTTTTCTACCTCTCTCCTCTGGCAATGGTCTTTCTGAGGCTCATTGCTTTGTACCATATCCAATTTCATCATCTGGCTTTCATTCAGAGATCCTACATAGTTCTACCTCAGCCTAACCTAAACCCACTGCTTTATTGTCCAAATGACTCAGTAACATCTTCCTAACATTGCTCCCACCCTTGCATACAATATTCTCTCAGTCCTGGCCCACAAAACCATTTCCCCTCTCTTCACTCCAGCGGCCTTGCCAAAAAGCTCACTTCATCTGTGCTGCCCCCAGCAGCATAAAACATGAAACAAATCAAAACAGAAGCAAGGAAAGAATGCTAGTTTTTTGATTTTGTTCTCCTGGAATTTTACATGCTGAAATAACACTACTGCTTCTCAAAAAGGAGGTGGACTCCACTGATGGAGCAGGGACTTGAGGTGGACACCAGTAGGCAAATCTCACAGAGCATGCCACACCAGAGCCTGGTATTACAGGCAATTACTAGTTATGAAACATACATGGTCACAGAGTTTTCCAGCAAGTCATTTCTCTCTTAATTTTTATGCAGCATTTAAACACAACCCATCACAAGTGAGAAAGCTGTCTGCATCACAGCAGTGTATCTGCCAAAAGTAAATACATGTATGAAAAGGGATTATGATTACTGCCCATGTAGTAAGACTAAGAAGTCTTTGTAGTGTAATGAAAAGCAACGTTGCACTATAAAGACTTGCTCTATCACTTCTTTGAATCAGTTTTCCTATCAAAATCAGCAAGAATATCACTTAAACCTACAGCAAAGATCTCTTCTCTTGAATGCTCATCTACTATTTTTATTTTTTCCAGTAGATGAAGTCAGTAAATAAATCAGAAACATCTCACAAAGAGTTAATCATCTGACAGTCTGGCATTGACAACATCCCAGCTACACTGCTGAAAATCTGGAGCCTTATCTTTTATGTTTCTGGGGATTATTTGCTATTCACACCACTGAAGCCAAGATAAATTCTCTCTTTTGCGTGAGTGAATTCATTCCACCATGAGATTTACACAAAGGGATTTTTTCCCTCAACTAGCAGGTGCATATCACTTGTAGTTATGTCCTGAAATATAAAAAAGACCAAGCTGATTAAAACCAGCACAATCTGTGTGTGCCATTGCAATGAATCTGATCTATCTTTACCTCTGATCAAGAACATTACAAGTTCTTCCTTTCTCCTCCCATGAAG